TATATATATATATATATATATATATATATATATAGGGAAAAGTGAATATACCCTTAAGGGTATATAAGCTTAGGTACCCAAAGTCACCATACTATGTTGTTTGTATCATATGTATACATTGTAATTGTCCAATGTTCTTATAATTCAACTTCTAACTTGACTTACTTCTAAGATTTTTATAAATTTCACGTTTATATTCCTCTTACATAATTTTCATTTTCAACTCTAATATATATAACCTAATAGGTGTTCGGCAAAAAGATGTGATATAAGAGGAAAACAATAGTGAAATTTCGAAAATCTTCAAAGTAAATCAAGTTAAGGTTGAAATTTAATAACATTATAATGAATATATCAAATAAAACGACTAATTATAGTGGGTTTGAGTACCTAAACTTATATACCCTTAAGGGTATATTCTTATATCCTTAAGGGTATATTCACTTTTCCTATATAGATGCGATAATTTTTTCCGTTGTTTATTCTTTGAAAATGTTTATAGTTTGAGTTGCCCATTCCTTCTCTCTTTAACATATGTATAAACAGATAAATAAATAAGAAATAAAAAAACATCAATGAATCTGTAAGCAAAACTAATAAAGTGACAGTTAAACGAAAACATAGGAACCTATAATGCCACAAATAACCAACAGAAGTAGAGGGACCAAAAAAGACAAAAAGGAAGCAACTTTAAAATGACCCAAATATAGTTGAGGGATCATTCCTGTCAAAAAATATTAATATGACTAAATACTAATAATATATAATAAAAGACGAAGATTATAAAAAATTCAAACGAAAATGAAAGGGTTGTTTATGAACAAAAGCATAAAATTAAAAGGTGAATGTTGAAAAAAGTAATTCCAACGGCAAAGTAATAATAATAATAATAATAATAATAATAATAATAATAATAATAATAATAACTTTCTTTTATCACTCAATTCTCGTGCTGACAACACAAGTGTAAATAAACCTTGGATTGGGCCTCATTGCAGTCTATTCAATTATGATCGGCAAAATTGACAAAAACCTAACATTATACACATTTAGAATAAACATCGTATTATTTGAGTTTTTTCGATTGTTTTTTGAAACAAAAAAAAATATTAAAAATGGAAAAGTTATTGGGGGTGTTTTATTAAATCAATTTTTTCTAGGTATTTGTTAATTAAACAAGCTGGAGTTTTTTATTTGAACACTAAAGACTGTGTTTGGCGCGTCATAACTAGTTTATTTTTCGAGTTTTTTTATGTTGTCGTATTTGGTAAGCTAAAAAATAGCTTATAAGCTAGTTTTTTGAAAAGCTACTTAGACTAAGCTTTTTAGAAGTTTTTTTTTAATTTTCCAAATAACCCGTTAATTAATTATAGAAACAAATACTCTTAAATGTAATTTTATTTAATTTTATATATTTCAGTTAGTTTTACCAAACCTTATTTTTTTTATGAATTAATTTTTTATTTAACAACTAATTTTTCAATTGTTAGGACGCAAAAATAATCTAAATGACTAAAACACTCTCCAATTATTTAAATATGGGCTTGAATGCCAAAAAAAAAAAAAAAAAAAAAAAAAAAAAAGCCCTACCGTCTTGTCATTAACGGCTTTAGCAGTAAGCATCTGGAGTTCTGTATAGCAACACGCCAACAGCCACAGCCCACACGTGGCCAACAACAAAGCAAAACATAATAGAGTAAATTACAAATATGGTCTCTACATTTTACTCATAATTGCAATTTTAGTTTGATTTCTAAAAATTTCCAAATCATTCCTAACATTGGTTTCTATTTGGCTATCATTCCCAACTCAGATAGAAAGACTTTTGTGTGGGCCTGACAATTCTCAATACGATTCGTAACATGATACGATAAATGAGTTTGTATTGAATTTCGCCAATCTGCTTAGAATTTTAATTAAAGAAAGTTATATATTTTTTAAATGTGGTAAGTATTAGGATCTGATACCGTTGTTTTCCATAAGGTTATTGACCATTTAACCCATAACCTTGATGTTTGGTGAGTTGTTTTTAATGATATTTATATATTTTTATTTATATGTGTTTTAACCTTGTATATTGTTTCTATTTGAATGTTGAAGTTCATTATGAAAAACGGTGTTAGAGAACTGATTTTGTTTTTTGGGAGAAAAATAAGAACTATGGCTATAATTACATTAGAACTTGAATTTATCTATGTTTGTCTTAATATTTTAGTTTTAACATGTTTCCATGAACGTTTTTAATTTTCATTTGTATCTAGAGTTTTTTCATGTTTAATTATCTATTTTATTATGAAATCTGACTCACGAACCTACGAACCCAAATCTGATCTACGAACCCGCCAACCTGTGAACCCGTATAAATAAGTTGGTTGACGGGTCGTATATGGATTTATGTTCCAAACCTGTAAACCCGTAACCTGCGTAGTTAAATAAGTTGTGTTTGGGTTGACTTATTTTGACCCATTAACCTGTTAACCGAAACACGATACGATTACCAGGTCTATTTTTATATCTTTTTTTCTAGAATTTATAGTTAGTAATTAGTGATTAATATGCCATGGACTGAAATAATTATTTGTTTGCCTTCGGTCTTAGTATAAATATAAGATGTGCAATTTCCATTTGAATAGAAATTGCTCCAAACATGGAAGACTAAGTAGGAAATAAACATGGAGGACTAACTAGTAAATAAACATAAAATTAGTGTACAACATTACTATCATCTAAACTCATCGAATTATTGCTTTGCAATTGCAACTTCATCTCAGATTGAAGGATCCAAATCCAATGGAAGGAATTCGAATCCGGTTGTTCGTCGTGCTTCTTTACTTTCTATCCATAACCGTATCTTCCATCTGCGCCACAGATTTCAACTACTGCAGTGAGCTTCTAGTTTCATCTTTCAGTGTTCTGCGATTTAAGCATCTCGAAATTGCATATTTTGATATTGAGTTTGGGTCGATTTCGATTTAATAATGCGTTATTCCTAATTTTCTGGGATTTTTTGTGCTTTTTAAATGGGGAATTCGCACAAACTTGATCTTAGATTTTGGGATGTAGTTAGTGTCAATCAATACCTATTTCTTTTCAACTGCGAAATTGATATCATCGATTTTGTCGCCAAAAGAAAATTGATTTTAACTACGTTTTTTTTAATTAATCACAATAGTTTTGAATTTTGATGAAATAATAGTCTTATATGTGCTTATTATTTTAATTTTAATTTTAATATTATAATATATGTAGATAAGAAGAAAGAATATTCCGTTGAGGTAAGTGGAGTTGTGATTAGTCCTGACCCGATAACAAAAGGCAAAGTCACCTCCTTTACTATTTCTGCATTCACAGGTAAGTTATTTATTTATTTATTTTATTAATTAACAACAAACCAAAGTTTATTTTTATATCCTTGCTTGAGTTTTATTTTATTTTTTTTATAAATTTATACTCATTTTTGGCATGCAGATAAAGCATTATCTAGTGGGAAAGTTGTAATCGATGTTGCTTACTTTGGATTTCATGTCTATGGTCAGACCGGTGACCTTTGCGCCGAAACATCTTGCCCGATTCTTGCTGGCGACTTCACCATTTCTTACTCCCAACTCTTGCCAACATACGCTCCCCCTGTAAGTGGATTTTACTGATACTGATATTGACTGTTACAGTGTGACTTGGAATTTAGTGACCAGAATAACCTGATCCATATTGAAGTGGAGAAACCCGAATGACGATTTCAAAAGGATAAGTGTTTGGAGTAGTTCATTCTCTGTGTTGTTTTATTGTTTTCCTTGATTGCTAATGTAACACCGACAAATTAAGAGAATCTTGTGGATTTGATATAATAAGTAATAATGTGGTTTGATGAATGTAGGGTTCCTACACACTTACGTTGAAGATACAAGATGGTGATAAAAATGAGCTCACATGCATCAAATTTGATTTCAGCATTGGTTTCTTCTTTGACTCCAAGAGAGGACTCGCGGATAGTTGAGTTCTTGAAATTCAATACGAATATCTTTATGTTCATTATCTTCGATGGTTTTATATGACCGATTCTGGTTGTTATGTACCAATTTAAATGTATGGATTGTATATAGAACGTATTAAATCGTATATATTGTTGAGAAAAAATAAAATAGTTTCTTGTTAATGAAAGCGTGTGACTTTCCCATGAATGAAAGATTGCATTAGAATTACAATATATACAAATTAGAAAGAGAGTGGGCTACAAGAATAACATGGGCTAACTATAATTACTAATGGCTATGTAAAATAATATAGAACACATACAAAAGAATCATATAAGAGGTTGCTTGGGAATTTTTCCTATACAGAAGTGAAGAATCTTTCCACGTGTTCAAACACTAACTTTTAGAAAAGGTTGAAACTTTACAGCTAACATACCCATCAAAATTGCAATATACCCTACAACAATCAAGAACCCTAAATACCAATTGCCCCAATTTTGGGAATTGGAATCAGAAAGTTCCTTCATATCCAAAACAATTGAGAGTTGAGATATGACCATTATCCTACCCCCACACCTTTTGGAACTCTAAAAGTTCAAGAATATATCGACAACTCAAAAGGGTATTCTTCTTTTCAAGATATATACCCGCGTACAACTTCAAATGCACTAGTTACAATCAACAGGGAGGAGATAATACAAGTATACAACCATGGATGATGATGTTCCTGTCAACTAAAAATGGTGGGGTTTCCAACATATATTCAAACTCCTAATTCATAAAGTACAACATATTTAAAAGATAATTACTATCATTAAAACAACTAGAAAACCAACGTATAGCTTTCATTACATATGGTACAACTCATAACAGTCATATTAGACATTCCAAGTTAGACACTTAAGACATTTACACAGTTAAGACTTTTACAAACAGTTCCCTCCCCATAAAAGAAGGGAAAACTCAACACACAAAGTCAAAGACTTTGAAACCCCATTTACATTTAACCTTAAAAACACTCGATAATCACCACTTATGTGATTTCCCATATTCAAACCAGTCAAGAACAAGAAACATTAGTAAAAAAAAAAAAAAAAGCTCACAGCTTTACCCCGATAACTCACATGTCCTCTATATGACAAACTCAGTTACAGGTGCTGACGTGGCATTGACCACCACACCATTAGCGGCAGGTGGTGGTGGCGACTGAGTGTAGTGAAACTCGATCTGTAGCCTGTGATGAACTGGAGTTGAAGAAACCAAACCTTTCTTGATATCTGCTTGCAGTTCCCTTATAGGAATGGCAGCCAAGAAGTTCTTAATATACTCCTTACAAGATTCTTTTCCATAACAAATCTTATCGCCGGAATCACTAGGCTGCTCAGCTGCCGGAATCTGCTCGCCGGAATCCATGGCGGGAAGTCTGAAAATTGCTGAGCTCCGATCAAATTTCAAGATATAAGCTTGATTGCAACCTTCAAAGAGTCGTTCCCCTAAAGTGTCAATTATGTAATAAGCATCTGAATCGACTTTCAATACAAAAAAGTGGTCGTTCCAGCTAACTATGTAAACTTGAGGTTCGCTGTTTGTAGAAGCTTCTGATTCATGGCTAATCTCATCCCACATGTTATCAAATGACATTGCTCCGTGTAAAAAGTCAAAACTACCCTCGTGGAGTTCATCGGGGTGAAAAAAACCGACAAAAGATTTTCCGGGGATGACGGAGAGAGGGCGGAGATTGGCCTCGAGGACGGTGTCAAGATCAAAATGTTTATCTGGAAATCGGACCATGTAAGTTTCGTTATCACAGAGACGCCTCCATTCTGATGAACCTTCTCTGATGAGAGAATCAAATTGGGATTTAATCGGCATCAAATTGTGATTGTTTTGGAACCAATCGGAAATCACCGTCACAAGGGCGGTGCAAGCGCTTTCTCCGGCGGCCTCTTCACTACGTTGATCTATAGAAGCAAAGAAAACCTCCGTCTGAAGCTTCATGCACCCATCTCGGCTGATTATCTCCCTCTGTTCCCAATTCCCGATTGCAAAACTGTCGTCCCCAAACTCAGAAGCCGGAAGAATTACCTGAGGTAGGTTAACTAGAGACTCATCGGAGCTGAGTTGCCTCCGGTCAAAGTCAATATCATCTCCACCTTCTTCACCGTAATCTTTCTTTAACAACGGTTCGCCCTTCGGTGGTGATTTGAAATTTAATTTCCTCTTCTTCCATGGTAAGATGCTTCGTTTCGGAATCTGAGTTATACTCTGTTCAGAATTCGAAGCGGTCGGGTCATTTTCCGGTGAGCACCGCTCACTCTCATCGGATTTCTGGTTACTATAATAAAGATTGTCCTCGAAAAGAGATCCACCGGCGTAATTTGCATATGCCAACGTGCCATAGCTAAATGATTTCCGAACGTTAGCATTCTCGAACGATTCGCCGTCCCCGGAATCATCGCCTAAATCAGAGTCAACAAGATTGGAATTGGAATTGGAATAGTCACCTTCGTCACTCCTGCTTCCGCTAATTTCGTTATCGTCCTCGCCGGAGGCTTTTTTGCCTCTTTTAATCGAGACGTACTCCTTGAAGATCTTAACTTTTCTTAATCCCGCTTTAAGTGCTGAATGCTCGTCTTTATCCCCCGATGAAGTTTCCGATGATTGATTTTGAGTTTGAGCAGCTCTCAACTCCATTAAACTGAGTGATACATGAAGTGATGGGTGAGGCTCCGTCGATCCAGATGAAACGACAAGAGGAATATTGAGCTCGAATTCTTTTTCGTTTGCAGAAGAAGCAAATTCAGCAAGATTCAAGTAGGCTTTTCCGATTAAAGGAACCTTGTTCTTCAGCCCTGTGTTTGATCCCTGGATTAAAGCAAAAAAATCCAATATCTTAGTAAAAGCATATGATAATTCCGAATATATTATTCAATTAAACATAATCCGATTGAAATTCAATGCATATACATGAAAAGAAGATTCAGAACAATGTTAAATAATTATGAAAAATAAATTAAAAGGGGAGAAAATAAAGAACTCACAACTGTAAATCCAATCTCCCATGGAAGAAAGTCATTTTCTTTATACCCAGAAAGGATACAAACTGAATTGAATTCTTGATCCCAGAATACAACACCGTTCGGATCAACGATTTCCCCTTCTCTTGTGAAATCCCTCTTCGATGTTCTTCTAAATGAACCCAAAGTGATCTTGGGTCCTTTCCACTTGATTTCCACAACCCTACGATTATCCTTCTCTAGGTCGGAATGTAGAGGATCACAATTCGCACCCTCCATCTTCTTCACCACCAATTTCACCTCAAATTTTCTTGATAAAATCGGCGGCCATGGGCGCCATTTCATCATCTTTACCACCATTTACAGTCAAGATCGAAGATATACAGAAATTGAAGACGTGGGAGTTGTTCTTCTGGACTTTGAAAGCTTATTTCAAGAACCGAAGAAAGATTCAATGCGGGTTATTGTTCAAACTTGTGATCTAGTAATCTTGAGGTGTGGGTTTTGTTTGAGAAGAGAGGTGGATGGATTTGAGAGATGAGGAGGTGATGTTTTTTCGCGTGGGTATAGATGTAGAAACAGCGGACAGCGGTGCAAAGGAAAGTTAGAGAGAGAAAGTCCGAGGGATATGAATCTATGATCATAGTATGATACTTCGTGAGGTGGTATTTCCTTGGATAAAACTTCAAAATTCAAAAAATATGTTTAAATACAAAAGGTTATCAAGATTTGGATAAAGCGTTTTTGAGTTATAAAAATCAAAATCCAGAGAGATATTAAGATCATCAAATATAATTTTAATTTATAATTTTTAAATATTAAAAATATTTCAAACATTTAATATTTGTTCAAAAGTTATAAAATCTTTAAAATATTAGTTACTAGGTTACAACTCGTGGAAACCACGGGTAAAATATTTATAAAAAATTTAAATTATTAATAAGCAATAAAATTTGATTTATACGATAAATGATTTACACGATCATATTACAATTAAATGAGCAATGAAAATTTTATATGGATTTCTAAATAATCGGATATTTTACATAATTAAATAACCATAAATTTTCTCTTCGAACTATAACACAATAAACACACATACTTGTGTCACAGAAATTAACAAAACAAATTAATATCAAATCAACAATCACATTTCATTACAACCACGTTTTTCATAGTAGGAATTACAACAACTTCAGGGGAAAAGAACTATAGCAACAATAAAATATAGTATCAACACCGATGACGTTTTAATCAAAGCACAAACAACTTAAATTACATAGTTAACACGAACAATTTTATCCACTTAGATAACAAATACTGTTTAACAACGATTCTCAACAAACGTAAAAAATTCAAACTTTTCAATAAATATTTTTTAAGTTTTAGAAACATGCACCTATAAATATGAAAATTAGCTTTAAACATCCACCTAATGTTCTGTATATGACATAGATAAAGTAATGCAATAAGAGGTAGTAGAAGGGTATAAAAGTAAAAATATTTTTGGTTGAAAATGGATGGGAAAGAGACATGTGCAATAGAAGAGTCTTTTATTAAGAAAGAAAATTGTAATTGTAATGGTTAACGAAAAGTTGGATTGAGGGTGGAGTGAAGTGAAGGAAATATTTTGACTTTGAGATAACCCCTATCATAGTAAGAGTAAATTGTATAAAGTTAAAATATCAACTTACCTGCTAATAGCTTCATTTGTTTGAAAATAAAAGGGTAAATTACACCAATCGTCCCTCGTGCAGGTGCCAAAAAGCGTGTTTAGTCCCTATTTTAAAAAATTAACTCGGACCGTCCCTCGTTTGTTTAAAACTTGCACGCTTCGTCCCTGATATGTGTTTTTGTTGCAAATGTAGTCCACGCCATATTTGAAATGACCATTATGCCCTTGGATATTTACTTTTAATTAATCTAATATTATTTATTATTATTTATTAATATAAAAAAAAACAAGCCTCTCTAATCTCTCTCTCTCTCTCTCTCTCTCTCTCATACGCCAGAAAATACCACAACCATTGATCTCTCTCTCTCTCTATCTCTCTCATCCTCCTCCACAGTTTCACTCTCTTCTCCATTTTCACACGAAGGACAGTGATGGATATTTCATTCCGGAATCTCGGCCTTCTCTTCCGTGATGAATAACCTCTCGTCATCTGTGTAATATCGTTTCATCACCGTCGAGGTTAGAACCGGTAATGATAGACGAAGTTACTTCTGTTTGTTTCCAGTCACTGATGATCTAGTACTCATCTCCCATCGTTTTCGATTCTCCAATTGATGATCACCACCTGATGACAGTGCCGGAGTCTTCATCTCCAAATCAACACAACTCTCCACGACTAGGGTTTTGACATATCCCATCAACGGCAGCTAGGGTTTCGACATATGCGTCGAGCTCCACAACTTTCACCAGCGGCGGCTAGGGTTTTGATCTTTTCCTGCATCATTATAGATTGGTAGAGATATGGAGATCATCGAGCTCCACAGTTGCAATTGAATCCGGCGTGAAGCTGATGGGTGGATCGATCGCATATGTATGTTTTTCTATCACCCTCCTTTTGCTCCTCTATCTCTCAATCGGAGATTCCTCTTCACCATTCTTCTTTCTTTTGAGTTAAAAGTTTGATCAGGAAAAGATCAATAGATAAAGTAAGGTAGGTGATGGTCCCGATGGTAGTTTTTTATGGAGATTGGTAGCTGTGATTGGTGATAATGGTGGTTTTCTGTGAAATCGATGGTCGTTTTTGTGAGATTAGGATTATGGATAAGGCGCTAAACAGGGGAATAAATGGCGATGATAGGTGGTGGCTCCGGAAGAGCTGGCGGTGATAGGTGGTGGTGGGTCCGAAGAATCTTGTTGCAGGAAATGAAAAGGGGAGGGGCGGGGATATTTGTTTCGTTATTTTTTTAATTTAAAACTGATAAATAAATAAAAAAAATGAAAAAGGAAATTATTAAGGGTAAAATAGTCATTTTATGGTAATAGGGACTAAATGTGCAAGTTTTAAACAAACGAGGGACTATCCGAGTTAATTATTTAAAATAGGGACTAAACACGCTTTTTGGCACCTCCATGAGGGACGACTGGTGTAATACTATATGACCAATTACCAAGAAATTCAAAGATGTGATGATAAAAAAATATATACTATGTCATTGGATCTTTACCTGCAAAAATGCACTTATAGGCATTAGACGCAAGAATGAATTTGCTCAAAGAATTGGTTTGAAATAGTAGTTCTTAAGATGATAGATTTTTATTAATTTATTTTTTGTGGCAAAAACCAAAACTTTTGTCTTCCTAAAGAAAACATACAAATAATCTACGCGAAAACTCTTAAAAAAAAAATCCAATTTTAATAATAGTCAAATCGTTTCACTCTTAGTATTACAAGCTCAAGCTTAAAGGCACCACAATAATTCAAAATAAACTAAATTGGAAAATAAGGGTACATTGCTTATTCTTGCATGTCTAGAGCCCCCATAGAAGTTTCATCCTACCAACCTGTATAATGCTCTAATAAAATAAAATAAAAAGGTATGATGTTATAATTTAAAATAACAATATGAAAATAAAATGCTAAAATTACAATAATAATAAAATCCTTTAATAGCTTCAAGATATATTAGTGATATAAGAAAAATGGAAAACTGAATCAAACCCCTAAGTTCGTGTTGATAACCTGCAACTAAATGTGAATAATCTGCAACACCTTTAAGACACTCAAGTTGTTGCTGACCTCCTTTAGCTACAAATGATATATAAGCACATAAAGCCCTGCAAACAAAAAACCGATTATCATAACTAAAAGAATTTTCCAATCAAGCTGCGACAAATGCGAATGAAAGTAATTTACTATTATACTTGTTAAATACAAATAAATTAGCAAATTCTAATGAAAAAACTTTAGTATACTACTATGCAGTCAAATCTAAGAAAATTATTAGAAATTGAAGATCAATGGATATTTAGAGAAGTAAGAATGGTAGTTGGCCTTGAATTTTCCAAGGAAGTAGGAATTGCATTAGACCTTGGGAACCCCCTGATTTCTCTATTGTGCAGGGTAGACAGATTTGGCCTTGACATTTTAGATAGATTATCCTTGATAAGAAAGCTCACTCAAGATATTAAACAATAGCATATTAGAATAATTTGTTGTTGTAAGTAAGACACATAAATAAAGGTAAGGGGTTGTTTTCTTTATACTTAATGGGTTAAGCACCTAATTTGGCTATATATGGTTGTTTCAACCACATCACTTGTACGATATCGTGTTACTCAGACATTTTGAATAAAAACCAAAACAAATTATGTTATGTGTGTCAATATGCGAACTTAACTTATTCAGACATTTCATCAAACACTTAATATGTGAAGTTAAAAAGTACACATTTCATCAACCAAACATGAAGTCATAGTAATTTTGATCAAGTATGTAGTTAGAAACAAAGTTGGAAGAAGAAGGATACATATACGAACCTAAATTAAATAGATATGAAGAATGATCGGCAGAAACGAAATACTTTTTATAGACTTGTATATGAAATCGAGAATGCAGTGGTTAATCTTATTTTCTGGAAGAAGAAGGATACATATACAATCCATTCTACTTCTTTGATTAACAATTATCACAAAGACATATTAACAAACAATTGCTCTTCAACTGCAAATCAGATTTTTTTTTTTTCAATTCCACCTCAACATATACCACTATTCATCATCTCCTTCTCGTCTTGGAACTAAAAGCAAACAAATGCAGAAACAAAATTAAAATAAGATGTTTGGTACATACATGAACATGAATTAAGAAGTTAAAGTGATTGAAGAGTTTGATTCGATTTACCTGTGTATATCAACAATGCGATACCTCAACTTATAAATCATTTGATTTCAGTTACGTTGATGAACAAATGATTATATTACTCCATGACACATGATTTAAATTTAATTTCTTTGTAGTTATTTTAATCATATCAATTATTATCGCATTGAATCATGGGGTTTATATATTGAAATCGAAGCAAATGGAGGCGTGATTTGGGGAAATAACGGATGAGTAGATAGAGTTTTAAAAGCCTAAGGGTATATTAGGTACTTTACTTAGAAATTTTGTAGCTGGAGAAGCTGCCACGTAGGCAAAAAAGGATTGTTTTATTAAGATAGGGGATAAGTCAAAATACAAAATGATAAACAGTAAATTGGTAATAAAAATTCATTTGAAAAAAAAAATCAAGGGAATGTAGCATCATATCGGATCTCGACCCTACGATCCTACCCACCATCGGGTCAAGTACATACCAAAATAGTTATGGACTTAGACACTAATCCAACACTTTATTACTTTGGATGTCCATAAAGTTCTTAATGATTGGTATTAATCCGTTAAGACCTTATTTCTCAATGCATGGGACACATACAACTAATAAGACCTCATTTTTATCACTCAATGTCCCTTTTCAAGAGTCTAGAAGGACAACCCTTTTCGTCCAAATCACATCATGCACCACCTTATGGCTTTTGGGACAAGAAATGCTTTTATTAAAGTATGGTGAAATCTATGCATATATACATAAAGTTAGGAATTTTATACCTTCTGGAGCTTCTTGAGCACAAGCTAACTTCAGATCTACAAGCTTGATCTTCTTCTCCAACTCTTTGATGCAATACCTTCCTCTTAAAGCACTCAAGAACACACCA